GGGGGTCCCACTGGTGCCCCCCCCAGCCCAGAGACCCCAACAGAGACCCAGAGCTGAGCTGTTTATTGGGGTGCACTGGGGGGCACAGAGGCCCCAAGCCCAGGGGATGGGGGGGCACAGAGACCCCCCCCCGGGCACTGCAGGGACACAGACACCCCTGGGGAGGGGTTTGGGGTGGGGGAGGACCCCCCAGCCCCGTGCTGGGGTCACAGGCGGGTATTTACAAGCAGCCACTGGGACCTGCAGGGCAGGGGGGTCCCAAGGCCAGGGGGTGGCGGGGGGAGGTCCCAGGGGGGTCCCTGGGGGGGTCCCCAGGACTCTGTCACTTCTGGAGCCGCTTGATGCGGGCGTCGATGTCGGCGAAGTTGTCCTCCACAATGGCCAGGTTGTCCTTCATCGTCTTCTGCACCTGGGGGGACACGGGCGGGACGGGGGTCACGGGGGGTCATGGGGGGGGAACAGGACTGGGAGGGGGCTGTGGGGGCTCCGGGGGGGTCCCACCTCTGCCAGCAGCGCCGCGTTGTCCTTGAGGGCCCCCGCGACGTCCTGCTGGGTCGTGTCCAGCTGCACCAGCACCTGCCCGAACTGGGCGGCTGCGGGGGGGACACACACCTGAGTGTGGGGGAGGGACACAGAGGGACGGGACCCCCCCCCGGCGCCCCCAGAGCCCCCCCCAGGGCTCACCCTGCTCGTGCAGGTCCCGCAGGGTCACCAGGCGCTGAACCACGTCGGGCAGGGCCGAGGCCACCGAGTCCCAGCGCTGCAGCGTCTCGTACAGCTGCTGGATCTGGGGGGACGGGGGGTCAGCACAGACTGGGGGGGGTCAGCACAAACTGGGGGGGTCAGTATAGCATGGGGGGGGGTCAGCACAGCCCGGAGGGGGTCAGCACAGACTGGGGGGGTCAGTATAGCATGGGGGTGTCAGCACAGCCCGGGGGGGTCAGTATAGCATGGGGGGGCTCAGCACAGCCCGGGGGGGGTCAGCACACATTGGGAGGGTCAGTATAGCTGTGGGGGGGTCAGCACAGCCCGGGGGGGGTCAGCAAAGACTGGGGGGGGTCAGCATGGCCCAGGGGGGGTCAGTATGGCCCTGAGGGGGTCAGTACAGCTCTGGGGGGTCAGCACAGCTCTAGGGGGTCACTACAGCTCTGGGGGGTCAGTACAGCTCTAGGGGGGTCAGTACAGCTCTGAGAGGGTCAGTATAGCATGGGGGGGGCAGTACAGCTCCGGGGGGTCAGTACAGCTCTGGAGGGGTAAGTACAGCTCTGGAGGGGTCAGTATAGCATAGGGGGGGCAGCACAGCTCTGGAGGGGTCAGTACAGCTCTGGGGGGTCAGTACAGCTCTGGAGGGGTCAGTACAGCTCTGGGGGGTCAGTATAGCCCAGGGGGT